AAATTGACATGCCGGATTCTAATGAAAGTTAGATTTAAAATTATTAATAAGAATACTAATTCGGCAATTGAATAAAAAAAAATAGTAATGAAAAATGACTTCATTACAATACTCACACTTGCAGTTTTTGTTTGTTTTGGTTTTTCTATAAAAATTGGTCTTTTATATTATCAGTGATAGATAAGTTTTGATTTTTATTATCAACTCTTATAAATTTAATATTTATTTCGTTATATTGTGTTTGCAGATCAGAATATTTCTTTTTTTTTTTTCATTTTTAAGTTTAACTTTTGGGATTTGTATTTTTTCACTCATTAATTGGTTTGCTAGTTTTTGTTCTTCTACTAGTAATTTTAAAAAGTTGTAAGCATTAATGCAAAATACATCACCTTTACTTTTTTCTTGATCCATAGTCTTAGATTTTTCAATAACTTTTGGTTTACAGCATCTTATGATAGCATTTACTCTTTGTGCACACGATGGATATTTCAAGTCACAGATTTCACATTTTACACTAGTAGTCCAATTAAATAACGAAAAAAAGCCCCTTTGAGCTTACATTAATTTGTAATTGGATAAAACAAAGTGTGTATTTTGATGTGATCTTTCCGAAAAAAAGATAAAAATGATGTAGCTGTTTTTCAATTTTTTTTAAATTAGGAAAAACCGGGTTTTCCGGAATTTTCCATGGTAAAAATGCTAATTATCTGGGCAAGTATTATTCTGATAGTAAAAATAAATGCACCAATCGAAAGAGGAGGCAAAAATAGTTCGGAATTTCATTGCATAGGTAGTTTTAATGGCGAATTTCTCGCCGCCAGAAGTGCTTTAACCAAAAAGTTGTTTTTTCGTTTCTTTGATCAGAATCATGAACATGAAATTTGCGATGAATTTGTGGCAAAATTATAAATGTTAGACATATGTGCCCATGAGAGAAGTTGCGTATTTTTTTGTGGGCTCTCAAATAAAATAAGTCCCGCGGCGAAATCTGCCATAATTTTTCGGGAATTCGCAGGAAACCGGAAGGCGTAATTTTTTTTTAATTTTTTTCCCATATGATGTTCTCCGGGTTTTCCGAAAACATCTAACAAAAAATATATTTGAAGAAACTAACAGCGCCATCGGAAAGAGCACAAAAAAATATACATAAAGGTATACTTTAAAAATGTTAGGAAATTAATCCTAAGCTTGAGTGTAAGTTCCAACTTGGTGATAAGCTTGTTTTTTGTTCTCTAACATCTGGTTTTCTTCTCGGTTGATGCTTCATCCTCCTTTTTTTGGCATTGTCAATCGCGGCCCTTTTATGCCTATCCCAGATTTTATAAATAAACTCTTTTCCGTAACGTCGAGCTACGTAATGTTTGCGACACCTCTCATGCAATACAAAACCTGGTTCTAAAGAACTGAAAAAATTATCTCCTCTCTCTTTGCTGACCATCTGCAGAACTTTCAATCCTGTCGGTCTAATTGGGGTAAGTTCACCCTCTGGAAGTTTCTGATTACATAATAAACACAGGCCAGTCATTGCAACCTGAAAACAAAAATATTATAGCACTGTGATAGAATTTTCTTAATTTAAGAATGTACTTACTCAATAAATTGCTAAAGAAGTCCGAAAAACCATTTGTACACAGAGCTTGCTGAACACGGTTATTAAAAATCTATGCCGATGAACACTATCAAGCGATTCAATTTATAATAATATGACCGTTTCAAGTTTAAACTTGTCGGATAGCGAACGCCGAGACCATGGCTATCCTTGATACGACGTCCGGCTAATTTTGCGGTAATTCTATTTTGTGCACAAAACTCAAAAAACGTCTTATAACAAGTCAGTAAAATACAATTTAATAAATTCTAGGCCTAATAAATTTAGATATGTAAGAAATTTAAAACTGGAAATCACAAAAAAATCAAATTACAGAAATGCACGAGTTTTGGATCCCGCGGAGCGCGTGTAATGGGACTTTTGTCGGGAGAATTCTACAACTTAGAAGAAACATACACACTTTAAACTTTGTATACACATTCAGAAGACATGAGAGTTGGGTTTGCTCAATTTTCAGACCAAAAAACTGAAAATCGTCAATTTTAGGCAACTTTTCTCAAAAACCGTGTTTTTTGGTCGTCACTCAATGAACAGTGGTCAAAAAAATAGATAAAATATTTTTGCAGAATTTTCCGTAATGTAATCGTATTCTAGACATAATAGAGTATTAAAAAAAAGTTTTGAGTCATTGGGTGCATTTTTGGCATTTTTGTGCCACTTCAAACTCTCGAAAAAAAATTTAGTTTTTTTTTAGGGAAAAAATTTTGTTAAATTGTTTGATATCTTGGCCAATTATAATCCGATTTTGGTAAAATTCACACACGTATAAGATTTTATATTTCAGAGTAAGCTCTGTAAGTGGCATTAAAAAAATTTAAATAGTTTGGCCGTTATAGGCAAACAATGAAATTAGGCTTGCGGTACACTTTGCCCTTCCGCCATATGCCCAATTTTGGGATTTCTCTTGCCCCCTTCTGGGAATCAATAGTCACATCCCTTAAGTTCAAAAAAAATGTTTGTTTCTTTAAATATCTTAATTTTTACCAAAGTTATAAAGAATTTAGTGTTTAAACATTTAACAAATTCAATTTTTCGACCTTCGTCGCCTCAAAATACTAAACAAATTTCAATCGTCCCGCGAGAACGGTGCATCGGATCAAAATTTCTCAGGAGACATAAAAATTAGCATTTTTTCTAGGCTTTCAAATGTCGTAAACTGCGTTTTAAAAATATTGATTTATTTGCGACATGCGCATGCGCAAAATTAAAAAATTGACAAAATTCAAAATTTCGGCACTTTCGAAAAACTGCTACATTTTGTTTTGCCTTTTTTTCAAAAAGATCACCTCAAAATACATAGAATCCATTTTGTTTCATCTAATTACAATTTAATGTAAGCTCAAAACCGGTAATTTAATTCGATTATAGCAGTTACAGATTTTTTATAATAATTACACTCATCAGTATTTTGCGCGTGCGGTTCAGTCGGCGCCATCTTGATTAATAACCTTTGAATAAATTACTGGAAGTTCCATAATAATGTCTGATTTCACTTGAAACCTAAATCTGTTTTACATTTTAAGCAACGCTTGTCGAGTTACACCATCAAAAAAAATTGATCTTAGACGTCCTAAGCAGAGTATACATTTATGTCGTCAAAATTGTCGTCTCAATGCCGCAATTTCACTAAATTTATAGGTAGTATACACACCGTAAATACAAGAATCGAGCGGAAGTGGTGTAATAGATAAGGTGTCTGCTATTGAAGCAAGTGATTACGCGTTCGATTCTCAGCACATGCAAGCTTTTTGTTTTTTTTGAATTACTATGTACTTTTACAGGGTTGCTCAATTATAGATTATACTAAATTTTTTTTACGTATATTTTATGCACCATTTTATTTTCGTCATCTGTCATATTTATCAAGATATGACGTCATCGGATGAAATTTTTAATTTATATATATTTTTTAAATACATCTTTACCAATTTTTAATATTTAATAATATTAATTACAAATTAATACTAAAAAAGTAACCAAAACTTTACATAAAAAATCATGCATGTAAAGAAAAAATCAAAGAAATTCTAAACTAATTACACAAAATATGAATATTATGATAAAATTAAACATGTATAAAGAAAAAAAAGAAAAAAGTTTGTAGAAAGTATCAAGACTTGAACGCAAAATACGTCGCTTCAATAACCAAAGATTTCTCTATTACACTACGTTCGTCCCAGCAAAGTTTTACACAGCGGTTAACTACACAAAACCTGATTTCAAGACAATATTGCCATCTCGATCAGAACATTATTAATAATTTATTTTAACTCAACTTTAACAACAATAATTATACAACTGATAACATTAACATGTAACGTCTATCATAAAACTCAAAAACTGACGTCAGGATCCCTGCTTATATAGCTTGCTTTCACCTTCTCGAACATCCTCGAACTGTCTAGACTTTTGCTTGACGTGGAATGACATTTCCAGACATTTCTGGACTATTCTATTTTCTTTTACTAGTACTTTTACTTATGACGACCGCAGCAAACTGTAGGGCGATGAGTAACATTGCATTTCTTTTTTTGTATTCGTAGGGTGCTGCGTAACAATAATAAATAGAATATTACTCCATCTGTTGAATAAAAGGACTCTTAAATATGATATATACGTCAAAATTAGTTATTATTACGAATACTGGAGACTGCTACTGCGACCTTAATAGGCGTTGATATAATCAGGCATCTTTATAAGCAGTTAAGAGTTAGATTAAGCTCAGAACACACCGACTTCTTGGATATATTGTATTTCCCTGTTGATTATTTTCACTAGATTTTCTTCCAAGTGCTCCTGGTACGTTTTTTTCTGTTCTAGATCGAAAAGGGTGAGTCGCCACCTAACAAGAACTTCCTCAAGCATTGTCCTGTTAGTAATTATACAATGGATATCTATGGCCTTACGAGCTGTACTACCTCAGCAGCCATGCGTGTATTTGGTTTGTTTAGCATGAGCTTAGATTCTGTGTCCTCTTATCTGTTTCCAGTGAATTTGGTGTTTTGTGGTTATCGACCTGTTCACTTACTGTCGAACAGAGGTTTTACTTATCCCAAATACAGGCGAACGGTAGTTCAGATTTATATTTGGCAAGTTAATCAGCCTTGTCATTTCCTTGGACACCTTTATGTCCTGGTACCTGTCCAAGACAGTTTCAATCATCTCTTACTTGATTCTATTTAAACCATTTGCCTTCAAGATTGCCTGGCTGTCTGAGAGAACTAACATGGTTTGTTTTTTGTACTACCTTCTTAAATTTTCTCGAACACACAACTCGATTGTATGTATTTCAGTCTGACATACATTGGCATGTTTTAACTTCATGAACGCGCTTTTTCATAAGAACTTTAGATCCCAAGCAGTAATTTTTAAAAATATCTCTTCTTTCCAGGTGACGATGACGACGATGATGACGACGATGACGACGACGATGACGAACCATCAGCCGCACAACCTGTAGAACCGACAGTGGTAGAACCTGTACAACCAGTACAACCGATAGAACAGGAACCCTCTGTAGCTGAGCTGTCCCCACAAGAAGAACTAGACGCACAAGAAGCAGCTGCAGGCGAAGCTGGCTTGGAAGCATCCGGTACGGACCAACCTATACTCGAATCGTCGGAGGTAGTTGTAAAAGACCCGTTCCCCGCTCAGCAAGCGGTTGAAAACTCAGTGGAACCCGTTGTGGTTCAGCAGGTGCCAGCTAACGACGACGACGATGACGACGATGACGACGACGACGATGACGATGACGACGATGACGCATTAGGCGGTCTCGTTGACGACGATGACGATGACGACGACGATGACGATGACGACACTAACGATGACGACGACGATGATGACGATGATGACGACGAAACGGATCTAGAAGATATCATCGAAACGAAGAGATCACGTGAGTCAAAAAAAATAAAACATAATAAGAAGTCGAAAAAGTCTAGGAAACATCATCTACAGAAAATTTTAAATAAAGTGAGATAGATAGCGGAGTGGTAGTTGTAGAGACTTGTTTTTCTTTGGTTAATGTTTGACACTGCTTTTTGAATACTGTACAAAAGAGATTTTGGAAATGGAGGAAATTTCCGTTGTAGGTCTTTTTCGAAAAAATTTAATTCTGGTTCTTCGTAACCTTTTTTATTATCATTAATTACTAAGCTATCTAAGAGACTGGGAGGTATCCATTTCAAATTAATATAAAGCGGAAATAAATACAAAAAAATATATAATCTCTGAAAAAAAAAGGTGATATTTTCTAAGAAATATCAAATTTTTGATCTCAGATACAGGATAGTACCACCATAAATTAATCAAATTTGCCTTTCAAACTTTGAGCATTTCTCTGTACAAACATTATTCAACATTCTCGTATTTATATAGATTTTAACATGAGATATAGATAGAAAATAATTGAAGTCTTCAACTTTGGAAAGAGAGAGAAACTTTCTATGAAAAATATTTTTTAGAGAATCAAAAGTGCTCCTTCTAGAAATAATTCAAAAATGCTTTCCAAATTTAGAACATTTTCTGTAGGTATAGTGAAAATAGTTGAAAAAATTCTGTTTTCATCTTTGAAAACAGCAAGACATTTTCAATACGTTTATGGGTAGCCGAAAATCCCTATATACAGGGTGTACCATTTTCCTCTCATTCTCTTAGATATTTTCCAACAACAAAATTTTAATATATCGAAATTCTCTAAATGTAGGAATTTTTAATCCATTTTTCTGTATTATAAACACACTTTTTTAAAGCAAAAACACCTCATTTTTAGCAAATTAAGTATGAAAATGTAGCCAGTAGTATTTATACATTATTTATTTATTTATATTTATTTAAAAATTAATGCTTTATGCATTACTCTAGGTACATGTCACAATTTGGTGACGATTTTTTTTTAATTTAACAAAAAAAATCCATTAAAAATTGTTTCGATTTTGTTATAAGTAATGAACATTGTACAAATTTATTTTTTGAATAGATTGTATTTTTGTGACAACATGTGTTTTATTTTTTATGTTTATTTTTGTTTTTTTTTTGTTGTGGCACGTTTTCCCATATTGTTTTATTTTTTTAACATTTTTTTGTGACATCTATCTAGCTAATGCATTTATCAATATTAACAGCATGCTCTTAGTTTCTGTCTCTTTCTTTCATAACATTTTCATTTCATCGATATCATTGACACTGATTGAGAGAAGTTTGCAAGGTAAGTCAGATTTTTTAGTAGAATTTAGTAATATATAAGCAGGTTATCTAGTATGTTTTTTTAAATAGAATATTGAAACAATTTTATTGCATTTATGTCAAAATTATTTGTCAAAGGCAGCGGATCAAAGAGAATTTCATTATTATCGGAAAAATATATTTTTTCCTAGACTGTAAGGGACAAATATCACATTAGATCAAATCGGGTGAATAAGGAGGATTACAATAAAAGACAGTTATCAACATCAATTCAAATTAAATCAAAAACGTTCGTAATATTTTGTTTGAACATTAGTAACTTCTTTTATTAGATACTAAACAGGTCAAGGATGTATGATGTCCAGAAACGATAACAATTTTAGTGTTATAGTAGACACGGAGTAATAAATCAAATTTTTATGGGAATTTTTCAGCACAGGTGGCTCAAACAAAATCTGTGATTTTAAACAGTCGGTAATTATAAAGTGTGATGATTTTAGTAATTTTACCTGTGCCGCCCGGTTTTTTTGTGGAACGTAACAATGAGCTACCCTTATTTTAATCCCATTTAAGACTCTGATAAACGCACGGTTGGGTAAATTAGGGGGTATTTTTTTGTATTATTTTTTTGTTACTATTTTAAATTTAAATAATTATTATTTAACCGCCGGGGTGTTCTGATTATAACATTTACATATAAAATAGATATGCTTACCTTCTCTCGAAGGAAACGTGAAAGTCTCTTAATCACTATATTCACTTGATGAAGTCATTATTTACTGATATTATTAAAGGTTTTCTTCTTCTTTTAACACATACTCGAATGCCTTTTGTTAGCCACTTAATGATATCATCTTTCTTCAATGAAGTATTTGGCACACGTCCAATTTAACGGGAATGGTAACTAGCGTTATCCATTACTATAACTGAACCCTTTGGTAAATGTTTTATCATCTGCTGAAAATATTCTTCAAAAACATCAGCGTTCATATGCGGTCTATTCTGTAACAATTCCTTTATATTTAACGGCCTTTAAAAATATTGGCGGCCTTTAAAAGTATATTTGTATTCGTTAATTTACTTCTATCATTATTTAAACAGATTTCTTTAAGATAGTCCTCTAATGTATTTTAAAGATCCGTTTAAATAGTGACCGAATTAAAGAAGAAAATATTTTTAAAGGCCGTTAAATATAAAGGAATTTTTACAGAATAGACCCCAATATGAGTTATAATTAAACGTCGTCCTTTACCAGAAGGAACCTTCAATTCTGTAGATAATTCTTTTAAAAAGGTCTGTCGTGAAGATTGAATATTTGTATCCTGTCTCATTTTGCTAGCTGTGTAACCTTTATTCACCCAGGTTTCGTCCAATTAAAATATCTTTTTGCCTTCTGCACGTAATTTAAAAATGGTTCTGAGGTATCTCTCACCCGTATGCGTAGTCGATCGCCAGCGATTCGTCAGATATTCATCTCGGCGTATCACCAGCGATTCGTTGGCAAAAGCCCGAAAAGGTGACGACTTGCTGGAGGTTGTCACCGGCATCTCTCGCATGTTATTATTATATCTCAAATGTTTCCCTATAAAAGAATATGAAAACTAACTTTTCCCTATAAATGAACATGAAAATTTGCGAGAGATGACATGCTGGTGACAGTCGCCACCTTTTCGGGCTTTCGCTAGCGGATCACTGCTGATACCGCCGAGATGAATCTCTGGCGAATCGCTTGCAATCGACTATGCCTACGGCTGTCTGTCTCCAACAAACAATTTCATCAGAATCAATAAGTGCTGCTTTCCTATCCTGTTTATGTCACTTGAACTTCAAATCTATTAATTTACCGTAGTTTTGCCTATCCCATTTTGGGAAAATAAGGATCACTATTGATTGCGTCCAAAACCTTGGCAGGTGTTGGTATCTCTTTTTTAAAATAAAATTCATGAACTTTTCTTCTTATTCCACGTTTAATTTGTTCCGTAAATTCCACTTTATCTTCCCTCCTTTTTTCTTTGGGGGTTTAACAACTCCACTTTTTAATTCACTTATAACTTTATATATCGTTGATTTGCTTACACCCATCACATTACTTGTCTTTTCAACACTATTGTCAACAGAAAACGAAGGTTTTTCCATTCTTGGGAAATTATAAACATTGCTTACAAATATTTTCTCGTTAACTGACAACGCACAAGAGCACTGAGAAGTACACCGACAGTCTCTATGGAAATCATTCTATACCTCCCACCCCTTAACCTAGTCATAAAGGGGGAGGCCAGAATGAGTGCATACAGACTGGAAATCTCCAATAACTGGAACCCAATGGGACATATAAAACATACCAGAATAACACAAAGTAAATGATTCCATATTAAACATGGAATCAGATCACATGACACTGCTCCTAACCTTCAACAGACTCTTCCAGGTCAACTGCAACTGGAACGACATAGAAGGAGATAGATAAATACTTGCTTAGCGGTCTCGGATGGATCTAAAATTAACAAGGGAACAGGCTCTGGCGTACATGGAGTTAAACCCAAATGCGATATCATCGTCTTTACTGGGAAAACATACCACTGTATTTCAGGCTGAAATAAATTCAATCGAATTGTGTGTACGAGAGAATTTAAGAAGGAAGTATAAAAACAAACCATCCTAATTCTCTCAGATAGTCAAGCAGCCTTAAAGGCTCTTCATTTAAACAGAATCAAGTCAAAGCTTGTCTGGAACTGCCTTGGAATACTAAATGATATGGCAACCCACAACAAGGTAAAACTAGCGTGGGTAGCAGGGCACAAAGGTATCCAAGGAAATGAAAAGGCTGATGAGCTCGCCAAAGAGGGATCAGATCTACCATTCACAGGACCAGAACCTGTATTTGGGATAAGCAAAACCTCTGCTCAGCAGATAAGAGGGCACAGAATCAGTAAGCTTATGCTAAGAGGACCACGCAATGTTACTGAGGCAGTACAACTCGCAAGGCCTCAGATATCTACCATTGTGGGATTACTAACGGGGCACTGCTTGTTGATGGGATTACACTATTATCCCACTATATGTAGACTCTGCATGGAAGAAGAAGAAACCTCATACCATGTGGTACAGGACTATTCCAAAGACAGTACCTGAATACAGGAAAAGCAGGGGAATACGATAGACCTAAGAGGCCGCAGTGTTCTGGGCCAAACCTAACCCTACCTGCTTATAACCGACAAAGATAAAGAAAAAAAACAATTCACACTTTTTTATACGTTTCAAGGTGTAGACTTTGAACTTGAACCACACTGCATTTTTCAATACTACAGTCACTATTAACCGAAAATAACCACAACTTCTTACTGTAATATATAATATAGAAGGCTAATCAAACGGGGTAGGTAATATTGGGAACTGATCAAGATACTAACTGTAACTGCCTATCTTATTTTCATACAAAATCCTAGGTAGGTAACCGTCTTATAATCCCACCCCTTTGTTATCATTTTTTGAAACTTAGTTTGTCTTTTGTTAGAAACAAAAAACATTGCTCAATGCATAGTTGGGTATAAAACACATGACTATTCTGTAGGAACAAAAACAAAATAATTACAACCGTAATTTGGAAATAAACAAATATAACCTCAAAAATAATAGTAATTTTTTACCTTGAGACGTTTTTCGGTAACAATAGTTGATTTGACACACATACTTCCGATTTATTAAAGTTTTATTTAAACTTAATAAATAAATACACAATTAAAATTGTCATGTTGATTTTTAGAATTTGACAGCTTGACTGAAAAGTTGAAAATATTGAGAAGATATAATATGAAGTAGGTAGAGACGACATAAATACTATTTTTTGATTTGACTAGTGTAGGCACTTTGAGTCATATTTTGATTAATTATGAGTTAATAATTTTATATTTGAAGATTGACGGAATGAAAATGTTTTTATATCATTCAAATCACACTATTTCAAAAAAATTACATTTATTATTATCAAAACTGACTAGTTCGAGTTTGACATATGTCGTAAAAGGGTAATGCAAAAGTGCAGACACTTTTAGTACCGTCATAGCATCTCTTTATTCTTTATCTATGATTTGAAAGATTCGTATGCTTCGCCCTACTTTGGCCCGTTACTGTGTGCGTTGTGCCAAATATGGGGATTGTAGTGATTTTAAACAGGTTCATTGTTCGTTTCACGGATCTGTTAAGTAGTTGCATCTCTTTTTAGCTAGATTCTTTCGCGAAAGCATCTCATTCCCTTGGGCTCACTCAGAAACGCGTGCCAAAGGAACGCGATTAGCCAGAGCGCAGTGGCGTACCAAATATAGAGATTAACACGCAAGAAAACAAAATGATTAAAATTGTATTAATATTTTTATGTTATTTATTTTAAAATAATGTATTTTTATGAAATGTAACTGGGTGTTCACTGCACAAATGAACCAATGGAGAATATTAATTTTGAAACTAAACTCCTATTCACATTAAGAATGACAATTTAGATTTATAATGAAACATACTAGAAACCTTATAGAGTTTTTAATTTTCTTATATAGATTTTCGGATTTTTGCCATTTTACCGAAACAAAGTAAGTATAGTAGCTAGTTGAAATTTGTAACACTACACTGGTAAGTATCGCGTTAAGGTGTGCATAGATATAACGAGCCTAGCTCGGGCCAATAACA